TTCGCCCACACAGTCTGCCTGGATCAGTTTAACGATAGATCCCACGTTGGTTTGACTCCCCAGAGTCAGGAACCCGAAACTTCTCTCTCACACTGAGTGTGGCGTCATCACTGAAAGCCTTGTGGACCAAAACAGTTTTAAATGTTTCAAGCGAAACCAGTAGATTGGGAGAAGTGAAACGTTAGGCCCATGGAAATGATTAAAGCCCGGTTATTTCTAGTAATTAGTTATTCACGTGCCCACAAATACATGTCATAGAACATCGGTGTATAATAGGCCGGGCAGTGGGAAAGGGCCAACACTCACATAATGAATGGACGTGAGTCAGGCTCACAACATTGCTCGTACCCTTTGACCTAGTTTGCCTGTTTCTGGGAATCGATCCTAAACAGGCGGCGATACTTGCTAATAAGGGAGGAACAAAATCGGTTCCGGGCACAGGGTCTCGGAGGGTTTCCTTGGTCTCCTCCCGTTCTCCTGGCCTCTCCAGTCCTCTCAGGCTACTTAACCTAGTCGCTCAGGGCTGACCCTGGCTAAGGTCCCTGGAGAGAACGCCAGGAAGCTTTGGGCCTTGACCAGTTAGGATCCCTTGGGGAGCTTTGACCTGCAGATATCTCTGGAAGTGGCAGGGGCTGTGCACATGAGGGCTCAGAAGTAGGACAACGAAGCCGTTGGAGTGTTAAAACGAGCACATCCTCCCTCCCTCGCACCACTGGATTCTCTGCCCGAATGCTTGATCCCGGTGCCGCACAGACAGTGGAAGGGAAGAGAAACTGGGACACCTCGCCCCTCTGCGACTGGCTCCCAGCCCTTGGACGAGGGACCGGGTGGGGCCAGAGCGGGTGAACTCCGGGGAATTCTGTCTTAACGGGGCAGGAGACAGTGTCAGTGTTTACAGGCTGCGTTCTTGCGACTTGTCCTACTTTCTACCTTCAAGTCAAGAGATTCAGAAAGCATAAGACGACATTCAAAATGGTGTGTAATAACATTTAAAAAAATCGCTTTATTAAAACTCGTTATAAATGTAGCATATTTATTGTTTAAAAAGTGGTATTTGCCCCTGACCCCCACCTCACTGACCAGAAGTAACACTTAGTCATAATAACTCCTGTGTCCTCGGAGACATGTTTTAGCACACAACGCAATTGTTCTCAAACTTCCGTGTAAATGAGACGACCATCTGGGGAAGCTTCTTAAAAATGCAGATGGGCCCCGAGTTGTTTTCCAAATGGCCTGTCTGCAGACCAGTCTCCAGGATGGCCCCCGATCATCCACGACCCCTGGTTCTCCCTCCGCATCGAGCAGGGCTGACCTTTGTAGCCAGTAGAATATTGCAGACACAGAAGCGCGGCGCCTATGGTTAGGCCTGAAAGTCAGTGTAGCCTCACCTTTATTTTTCAGTGGAAGTCACAGAGGCTAATAATCCCCTTAGCAGCCGACGTTCAATACTTGTCAATAATAAACAAAGTGATTGGAGTGTTTTCTAATAACACAAATGGTGCTCAGAGCACATCTCGTCCAACTGTCTTGTTTTACAGAAGAGCCTGAGGTTCACAGAGGACAAATAACTAATGAGAAGGAAGCTGAACCTAAGACTTGTTTGTGAGACTGGGTCCGGAGGTTCTTCCACTGAGATCCGACAGCTTTCAAAATCTGAGGGATTATGACATAAAGCCACCTCCGCGATTTAACTTGTGATGACCCTGGGGACTGGCCGACTTTCTCCCGCCAGCTGCTGCCATGGGGTGGCTCTCGGCTGGGCTCGTGTTTGCACCACCCGAGCAGCGTTTAGACACCGCCGGGTGCTGCCTCTCCCACCTCCCGGGTCCCTCTTCCCCCGGCCACCCCTGCACTTTCCAAGCCCCGACTGCAGGTGAGATGGACCTGAGAACAGCAAGGGCCCGGACGCGAGGGCCTTGGGCTTTTTGGTGCTGGGGGTCGGTGAAGACGGGTTTATAGGCGCGTTTACTGTCTCAAAGGCAGAGGCTGGAGAGGATCTGGGAAAACTGAGCGTCGGGAAATGGGTGGTTGGCGCTGGACCCACGCAGATGTGCATCCCAGAACCGACTCCCCGGCTCTGGGCCTGTCCGGTGCTGCCCCACGTGGCACCTTTTCTTGGGTGGGTGTCCCCTTCGGTATCACAGCAGACTGTCACCTTCTCCATTGGGTGAAGAGGGTTTGGAGAAACGGTCTTCAGAGTTCCTGTCTCGCCTGACATGTGTTTTATTCAAAGGAAGATCGGAAGGCCTAAGAGACAGTGGGCGGCTTTGGGGCCAAGAGGCCTTTTAAAAATTCGTGTCAATCCCTCTCTGTCTCCGTCCAAGTCACGTATCACTATAAACACAGGACGATTCAAGTCAAGGGGCCACAGGACGCGGCCCGGAGCCTTTCTCACTAATACGATTAGACACGCAATCTGCGATCGGACTCAGGCCGACACCTGGACACCGTGGCGCTGCGGGCTCCCGGGGAAGCGCGGGGCTTCCCTTGCGGGGAGGTGCTCTGAGCTGCACATACTGTCATCTGACCGTCTGGAGGGGCCCACAGGGGAGCGGGGAGGACGTGGCTGCAGGGACTTCTGGCCACAAACCCTGAGGCCGACATCCCGGGGACACTGGCTGCGCTGGTTTGAAAGAGCTCCGAGTGGATGTCACGCGGATGATAATCAGATTTAAAATCAGCCTCTGCGTGCCCGCATCAAGCAGGCTTTAATTGCGGAGCCCAATCCGGAGACAAAATGCTCCGACGGCGATTTCGCTGACAAAGTGACTCGCAGGGTAAAAATCTCTGTGGAATCGCTGATTTTGGTGTCACTAAAGCCTGCCTCATCCGGGCCCATCTCCTCACGCTCCTGGTTTCCTGACTTAGAATTTACAGATTTAGAATTTGTACGGTATCCTTTCGCCAAACTCCAGGGGCTCTTATTTTGGGGTGGATACAGCATCGTGGGGGGGGGACCCCGCTGTCCACCTGCTCTGTGGGCCTGGGTATGTTTCTTATCTTCTCTGAGCCTTGGCTTCCTCACTTGCAAGATGAGGGGAGTAGGTCCACCCTGAAAGACTGTCCAGACGTTTAAAGTAAATAAAATAAGTGAATCCCTTTTTATTTCCTTTCTCTTTCCCAAACCCAAATGGCTGTGGGTGCTCCTAGCCTTATGTCCCTAAGGACACTGCTGCTGAAATTTCTTAATGATGTGCCAATAGGATCATTTTGTTTGATGTCAGCAGGCAGAAGACTATCCCATTGTCCCCATTCCCTGTACCCAGTCCAGTGACTCCCATTTGATTGTCACAATTTGCTGGGGATGGGGTAGGGGACAGGTACTGCTGGACTCTAATTGGCAGAGTCCAGGGATTTTACTAAACACATTACAAAGGACAGGCACTCCCCCACCCCCACCCCGCCCCTCAGCTAATTATCTGGCCCTAAATGTCAACAGTGCCAAGGCTGCGACCCCGGCCCCAGGGGAGGGTCGATGTTCGTATCTGAGTTCTCTGAAGGTAAGGAATGTGCCTGTACATCTTCTTTTCTCACACGGGAGGTTTCAAAGGGGTGAAGGGCCACCGCAAAGTGTCCTTTGAGTCGGTATTGCCCCTGGAGTGAGAGAAAGGCCTGCTCAGGCCCAGGTTCAACCCTTTTCTTACTGTGTGACCTCGGAGAGTAACCCACATTCTCTGAGCTTTGAACCTCTCACCTGGGAGGTGGGTAAACCACCAGCATCCTGGACAGGAAATGATGTAACGCAACAGGGACATTCAGCACAATGCCCACCACCAGGTGGTCAGGACACGGCAGCCAGAGCCACACAGGGGCCACGCTTCCCGCGTCCAGTCAGCACGTCCCAGAGGTTCCCCATCACCCCGGCGCTGCACGGAACACCGAGCCCGACCTTGCTCGCACTGCGCCTGCTGTCTGCCCGACTCCTGCATGTTGACTCGGTTTCCATGTTTGGCTCTACTCCTGCAGGTTGGACCACTGATCCTGGTTTTCCAGGTAACAGCTGGGGTCTGGCCCAGCTGTTCAACATGCAGCACTGCCACCTGGGACGGTGGGGGTAAGAGGACGCCAGGGCCAGGGGGCAGCAGTGGAAACTGAACGGATGGCATTTTGACATAGTGGGTCTGACTTTCTCCAGGAGTCGAGATTGTCCACTTAGAAGGAACATCCTTTCCTGACTCTGAGCCTATGGTGACCGAGGCCCCAAGGCCGGCGTTTCTTAGTTAACGTCCATGAACCCCCGATTCTGTGGGTCTGCGTGGGGCCAAAGATGGTGCCTTTCTAATGGGCTCGCAGGTGACCCTGAAGACTGAGTAGCAGGAACCTAAGTCACCACATCAACACACCGGCTCCCCGACTCATCACAACTAATTTTATTCCACAGCATGTTGGAGGGAATGTTATTCTCAGGATGATGTTTAGGATTAAAATAATTAAAAAAACTGGAAAGTACACACATTTATGTATCTCTTCTTTTCATTAAATATAAATCTGTTTGGCAAAAAATGTTAGACTCTTTTGTACAAAAACAAAGCAAAAAAACCAAACCAAAACAAAAAAACCAACCAACCAACCCCAAACCCTTGCAAACTGTCAACACCTGTAATAATTACAGTGATGTAAACTTGGATGCCTGACACCTTGCCCGTCTTATGGAGCCTGTGTTGCAGCAGACAGCCCGCCCCCGCCCCCAGGAGAAGGTAACACCCGCCCCTCAGATAGCAGCCGTCTGCCGCAGAGGCCTGTAGGCCCTGGGTATTAGGGATGGAGCATGAAGATTACCTTTTGTGCTTTCAGCTAAGGGGCTGGGTGTGTGGACGTGAAGGAGGCAGGTGCGGGCTGGGCCAGGGGGAGGGAACCCAAGACTAGCTGGTGAAGAGAGGCAGTGGGTCAAGGTCACAGTGCAGACGTGAAGTGGGCAGGGGACCTGTGGACTGTGTCTGGGGACCCAAGGCTGTTGAGAACTGGGATGAGTGGGTAGCTGCTGCTCTTGGGACCAGAAAGGAACAGGGCCAGGCAGAGGCGGGGACAGAGGAGGGCGCGGATCTGAAAGCAGACTTAGTTCACATGGGACTGGCGGTGGGAGCTGACTCTAGGGACAGGGAACGAGGCGGTGGCGCTTGGTCTTCGCAAGTAGCTGGGCTGTTTCTTGAAGACACAAGCCTTGCTTGGGGCGCTCCCTCGGGCTGGCGGGCTGGCTGGGGCAGACCAGAGCTGCTGGCTTCCATCCTCCAGGAGAGAGGATGTGCCCGCGGGGCCTCGGGATGGAGGGGCCCTCTGGCGCTTACTGGTGGCTGGTTTTGCTCTTGTCCCACCAGTAGGCTGCAGCAACGGGAGGCGACCTAAAGCAATGGCGTCTAGAAACAGAATCAGGGCGGTGAGCGAGATGCCAGGTGGGGGCAGAGGAACGGCGGGGCTGGAGGCGAGGCCGAAGGAAGGGTGGGCCACAGCTTCCCTTAGCACGAGAGACTCCAAGGCGTGGGCGCGCTCTCTCCTCTCCGGCAGCGAGGTTTTCCGGGTTCGGGGGTCGCTTCGGGGCCAGCCGCTTCAGTTGCAGTCATAGACAAAGTCATAGTTGCTGGGCTCCTTGGGGATGGGAGGGGGTGCGTCGGGGATCTGGATGTTTTCCAGGTCCAGGAGGCGGAGCTTGATTTCCATGCTGAGCAGCGTGTCCAAGTCGTTCCGCGTCAACTCGCTCATCATGTCCTTCCCCAGCAGGGCGTTCAGCCCGTCCGTCCAGATACAGTACTGGGGGGAAAGGAGGGGACATTGATGACTACCGATGACACTTTAAAGGGGAGCGACAATAGCTAACTGGTTATTCAGCATGTGCCAGGCTCCGTGCCAAGTGCTCTGCCTGCATCACTAGCTGTGACATTCCCAACATCTCCATACCGTTGGCACTCCTGTTGTCATCTCTGACTGTATATGGTGGAATTTAGACATAAAACTGGACAGTGATAGTGGCCAAACTTTGCTACCTAGAGCAGCAGCCCTCAGGAGCACAGGCAGATCCAAGAGGGAATAACCCACTTTGGGGGCCACACAGCTGGCACCTTGTCACTTAGACTGTCACTTAGAAGGTCCCACCGAATGTTACGCAGCCTCCAGCAGTCTTCGCGAGGCGGTGGTGATGGCCAACACCGTGTACAAAACCCTAGGAGCGAATGCACAGCCTTTGTCCTTTTAGCCATTGTCTGTCTTGAAGACCCAGTGACATAGGGACATGTCAAAGCTTTACTCGATAAAGGCCTGAACCAAAGGCCAGGTGACATCAAGGCTGAGGTGGAAGGCGGCAGAACTGCTCAGCAGAGAAGAGACATCGGAGGACGGAATGGCGTGCTGAGGGGCACACCTGCCATCAGAGTGGCTGCGTCCTGTGTCGGCCCTGGGCGGTGTCCCTGCGGCTGTCTGAGTATCGGGAGCCATGGGCCAGGACAGTACAGCGCTCAGTTTGGACCCCGATGGCCAGAAGGGTCTAGAGGGGACACGAAAGGTGGAGGAGGAGTGTCCCATGGATGCCACTCAGGAGGGGGTGTGGGTGCGTGGAAGGGAGTGGGGCGGGGCAGCGACAGTGCCGGGGCGCCGGGCTGGGCGGGCCCGGGTCCACCCTGCGGTGGGCGGGCCGCAGCTCCAGGGCCACACTGGCCGGCCCAGCTCGGAGCACGTCCCTGGGCTGAGGGGCGGCAGGAGCCCGCTCTCTGGGGCCACAGGGCTTCGGCGGTGGCTGCAGCAGGGCTTTTCCCCCGGCTCCACGTGACTAGCAGTGACTTCACTGTTTAAAACTGAGCCCGGCCAGCCTCCCACCCGTCTCCATCCTTCCTGCTCCAGCCAGGGGGGCCCACGGGTGCGCTGGGGCTCCTGGGGCAGGGAGCTTTTTACAGAGCTAGTTTCTAAATGTGGAAGCTCGAGAGGGACCGGCAGCGTTTCGTCTGTGATGTTGTGGGTGAGTCTGAGAGGAGTGACTGTCACCCGGAGCAAGAGTGCCACCTCCTGAGCCGGACAGCAGCACGGCCGGGCCTCGCAGAGCGGGGCTCCTGCCAGCAATCCCCATCCGGGGCCGTGCAAGCTTCCCCAGGGGCCTGCTTCCCTCCGCAATGCCGGCACTGCCTTCGGGGACAGCTGCTCCTGTGCTAACCTGGTGACTCCCCTACGAGCCCGGGATGGACCCGAGAAACAGGTGTGGCCTAGAGCGCGGACAGAGGTACACCGGGGTTATTAATGAATAAAACTGTGTTTTGTACCAAAAAAATTTATGAAATTGGAGGTGATGATGGTATTGTAGTTAAGTTTCAAAATGGACTATTTATGATTTAGAGATGCACGTAGGAATTCTTATAAACAGCACGATACGGTATCTGGATGGGCTTCAAAAACAATGTGTGGGGGTGGCTGCTGGGTGCGGGTGGACAGATGGAACCAGGCTGGCCACGAGTTGATAACGGCTGAGGCTCCGTGACGGGCAGGAATTGTGAGTTCAGGTCCTGCTTTCTTCCTCGCTTCCTAGCGACATGGTGCAGGAGGCAGAGAGGAGGGATTTCTGGAGCAAAACGCCCGCCGTTCAAATCCCAGCTCTGTCACTTATGACTTGTTTGACCTGGGACAAGTGTCTTAACCTCTCTGTGCCTCATTTCCCTCCGTAATAAAATGGGGATACTATCAGTGTGTTCTTTTGGAGTTTTAGATGAAAATTAAGTGAGAGGAAGTATGAAAAGCATTGAATAGTTATAGTTACTATTATCTTTACTGCTCTTGAGGTGCTCCACTCGGGGAGGTGTCTCTCTCCTCACTTGATAAACGAGGGTATCGGAAATCAATCTTCCTATTTTATGGAGTGATGATGTCAGAAGGTGAGGTAATAGATGTGAGAGTGATCTGAGGAAATGAAAAGCGCTCACAAGCACTCAGCATTTTCCTCCTCACTCCATCACGGGCGACAGGGATGAATGCAGGCCTGGCGGCCCCCTACTCTTTGGGTGGCTGTCCACACGGCTGTGTACATCTTGAATACGTGGCCTGTGTGCAACCACAATTTTGTTTCAAAAGAGAAACAGTAGGGCACAGAGTCTATTTTCAGGAAGATGGAGACAAAGTCATGCCCTCCTGCGAGCGAAATGTCAAGGAGCACAGGCTGCTATTTAAGCACCGTCCTAAAGGCAGGATTTGCATCTAAACGTCCCTCTCTCCGGGATGTATGGTTTTATTCAAAGCTTCAAACCAGTGAAAAAAGCCAGATACTGAATAATTTCCAAATGAGCTGAGCCTCCTAGGGGGAGCGGGGAAAAAAAGTCGGATTTTCAGAAAACGTTCCCTGGCTCTCTGAAAGCCATTCACGCAGCCGCATGCAGGACGAAAGTCTGACGGGTGTCGTCTAAAGTGAGGGCTTACAGGGAAAAAGTTAAATCAACCATCGCTGCTACTTTGTCTTCTAGATGCACTTTCCTAGCTTTATGCTAAATATTTTAAATATAGCTGACAGCGTGCCTCAAGAAGAGAAACAAATTATACATATAACAAGATGTCAAAAAGAAATAACAGCATCTCAGAAATAAAATCCAAGAGCAGAGACAGCCCTACACCTCTCGAAATAATTTCAAGAAACATGGCAGAAAACCTCCTTTAGCAAATGTTTTTTTAAACCCTACTTTTCAATTCCAGTTTACATTCAACATTATTCTGTATTAGTTTCAGGTACATAAAGTATTTTAAAGAATAGAGACAAGTTTATCTTGGGAAAGTCCTGACCAGAAACTAAACAGTCGATGAACCCTCCACAGCTGCACCCAGGGCAGGTCTTCATCTGGGGTAACAGTGACGCCCTTGAGGAATCTTAAGCATCTGTATATTTTCTTTCCTTTTAAAAAAGTATGTTTATTGATTTTTTTAGAGAAAGAGGAAGGGAAAGCGAGACAGAAACAGTGATGAGAAACATCCATCGCTGCCTCCCGCACGCCCCCTGCTGGGTGGGGATGGAGCCGGCTACGCGACATGCGCCCTGACCGGGACTTGAACCGGCGACCTCTCTGCACTGGGACGACTCCCACCCACTGAGCACACGGGCCGGGGCCATTCTATTTCTTTATCATGGACTCTGAATCGAGCTAGTGAGGGGCTGGCAGTGTTTCAGGAGGTTTCCATTCTATTCCAAGTCAACAAGATGTTCCTTGATTTTTTTCAGGCAGGCTTTTTTTTTTTAAACAAAATTTCTTTCTTTCCAATATTTTTCTCCTGCTGGTTTTTTCTAGAGAAAACGTGACATTCCCTTGTCAGTGAACCCCACCGAGCCCCGTACCTCATGCTTGTCAGGAGCGATGAAGTTCAGTTGGCAGTTGGAGTCGTACAAGATGGAGAAGGCGAGTTCGAGCACCTCCTACGGGAGACGGCAAAACCCCCATCAGGAAAACGGGCCCAGAGCAGGGCTCAGCCTGTGTCCAGAGAAGCAGCGGTCCCAGGAGCGGCCCAAGGCCGCAGCGCCCAGGGCCGTGCCTCTCCTCTCCAGCATCCCCTTCCAGGGAGACCCTGACGAGCTGTAAACCTCCCACCCAGCAGCACTAGGGCCGCTCTGCCTTCAGTCCCCCCAGACAGACAGACAGATGCTCACAGGGGCATACATTTCCCAAAACATGGCAGGCGACGAGGTTTTGGGTGGACTCGTATCTTTAGGTAACAGGTTGCCCCTTGATCTTTGAACTACTGTAGAGCAAAGGCCACACAGACCCTAGACTTTATCCTACAGCCGCCAGAGGGGGGCATGCGCCCAATGCCAGGACACCTGGGCTCGCTAGCTGACGAGTGTCTACTGAGTGCGGACACGATGAGCCAGACACAAAGGACCAGGGACTAAGGGACACTGTCATTTCACTGAGCTGAGTGACCTCGGTGGAGACACTTGGTGTCATGTCTAATACGTGTGTTGAGATGCACTTCTCAGGTCATCTGCGCTGTGCAATATTGAGCACAGCGATTATGCTGCTGGTCTGAGCAGCCGCAGGACACAACCCTTGGATGACACGTCTCAGCACCCCAGCGGCCCCTACTCTGGAGGGGAAGGGTCGTGCGTGTCCACATGGGGCTCTGCATGCTGTAGCACACGTTAGCCTACCTTCCTGTCGTCTTCCTCAGGCACCGCGGGTGACCACCCCTCTCCCCCAGCTGTGACCCAGGAGCCCCCCCCAGTCAGTGCCCTCCAGGCATCCTCCTTAGGGGCAGATCTCCCCTCCTCACGCTCTACCCCAGCAGCTGTCAGAGCTCGCCCTGGCCAGCATCCCAGGGGGAATGCCCCAGAGAGAAGATGGAGGCAGCAGGAGGGGGTCAATGCCCCCGGGCTCAGGGTTTCAGAGGGTCGGGGAGTCTTCCAGAGAGAACTCGGGCTCGGCGAGAGCGGCTGCCTCTCCTGACACAGTCAACCATCAGGCGACGTGTGCCTCTTGGGTGGCACACTGGCGACTGGCTCACCTCCAGCTGTGCCCTTGCCAGGAGGGAGCAGCTCCTGTTCTGAGCCTGACCTACCAGCATCTCACTCCCTCACGGCCCCTCACCTGCCGGGAACAGAAACAAGGGAAGGCCAGGAGGCGGGCCACGGGTGGCAGCGATTCTGCAAGACCTCGCTTCTCTCCCTTTTGTGGTTTTCTTCCTTAGGCCCATTCAGGGCTGCCCAGTGGGCACCGACGGTATTAAAAAGAGCTCACCCAAACAAACCAACGAAACCAATTTCTCCGTTAAGCTTGACGTGTCTCTCAGGTCTTTTAGTTTATGATAAAAATGTTCATGGGTCCTTCCAACTAGTGGTGCCCCAAACTGGTGTGATCCTTTTTAAAAATACCAGTGGGGCAATTCCCATCAAGAACAAGGAATTCCTCTCCCGGAGTTATTCCCACATACACTGAAAAGCAAAGAGCATAAGATGTGGTACTAAAGACGTTCCGCCCTTCCGTGGGTAAACCATTAAAGAAGCCACAAATGAGCAACCCAGACACGTACATTCGGCCAGCTATTCAATAGGATAATTATGAGGCTCTGACCTTCAGTGGAAAAAGCAGGAGAAATGAACATTATTTACAGTCGTTCACCAGTATGACTGTCCACCTGCGGGCAGGGCCGGCGGTGAAATGTGAAATGAAAGTAATTACATTCAGGTTCTGGGATCACAGGTGATCTTTCAAAAAACGTAAAACTTTTTTTTTCCAATAAAATGTTAAGCTCTATCTCACCTATTCATAAAAATGTTTTCAGACTAGGGACATGGATGTAAATGATGACTATTAATATTACTCTCATTCATTAGGAAAACTCGGACTCACACCCGAGACACTGGAGAGAAAGGACAGGGCTTTGCCTGTGAGCGAACACTCTGTGTGGTACAGCAGCCCCAGGTGACCCTGGCAGGTCAGTGGGAAAAGGTGAAGGTTGTGACCTGATGTCTGGGCTGACACTGCTTTGCGCCGCCAATGACACGGGTGTAAACACCACGAGAGCCCAAACTCGGCCTCTTGACTTGGTGCCGAAGTCACCTGAGACCACAGTGTCAGTGTGGTCATCCTCGTGATGACGCTGCCACTTCTGCAGGGGCACAGGCAAGGAAAAGGGGGGCCCTGCAGACTCAGGGCTCTGCCCTTCTGAGACACAAAGTACAGACACGGATGAGGGGCGCGTCATGACCCAGATTCCTGATAAACGCAGGCAGGAAATGGGGGATTCGTGAGAATGTCAATCCCCACTCTCATTTCACGGAGCTGCCTGGGAGGGGTGGGAGGAATTAATTCTCTGAGCTGCGCGCCTGTCTCAAAGGCTGCTATCACTTATAATGAGTTTTATTGATGTCCCTGGCTTGTTGTCATTGAGTTGTCAGTGGAGGTCAGCTCTTCCGCACGCAAGCTGAGCGGCAACACCTCTCGGGCTAACACCTCAGAAGCTGCCACCTGTCCAGACTGCCTGGGAGGGAGAGAGGCGCCAGGAGGGGGGGAGTAACTGTCATGGATCTGGGGCAGTGTCCCCCTCCGGGGCTTCTTGTCACATGCCACAACACTCACACAGACATCTGAGGCTCTAGGCTTTGCTGCTCACCACCCAAGGTCTTTTATTCCCTGCGGGTTTAATTCAGTGAAATCTTATGTCCAGGAGCGGCTAATCTCCATCCTTTGTCCCACTAATTCACAGGTCCCACCTCATCGCGTGGAGGAAGGCCCAGGATGGGGGAGTTCTGGGGGTAGAGGCAGGAGGATCTGAAGACTCCTCCTTTGCCCAGGGCCTCCGACCTCGTGCTCTACCTTCCGACCCTGGGACCTGAGACGAGGTGCGTTGGGTCGGGGGATGCTCAGAGAAATTCTGGGCAGCATGGAGCCTTGGTTCTGGGACTGTCATCTCCCAGGGTCCAAATGATGGACTGAATGGATACAAGAGTAGAGTTTTATACAACATATTTTCAGTGCACGGTGTTGGCTGCCACTCTGCATCTTGTTTTGGGGTGACTCGCCTCATTTGGCCGTTGTGGCCAGCAATCGCTTTAGTTATGCTGGCTCTCCCCCATTTGTCCAGGTCATCCTGAGGGCAAAGCATTTTCATCGAAGATACAGAACAGAACTTGGCGTGTGTGCATGTGTGTGAGCTACATGGCCTTAGAAATAGATTTCATAGCCGTAGTAATTACTGCTGGTCTCTGTCCCTATGAACGTGAGCTTCCTTCAGAAGGTAAAATTCACTCACCCTCATAGTATATAACAAGAGAGGACCTGCCCTCTCCTGGCAGCTCTCGCTGCTGGCGCCAGCGCAGCCCAGGCTCTTCTCTCTGTCCCCACCAATCCTTTATTCTGAATTCACTGTCTCACCTGGAAGCGGCTCTTCCACATGGTGAAAGGCCCCTTGCCTTTCCACATACTCCTTCTGCCCCCTAGAAAGTTGTCCCCTCACTTCTCCACCTGGTCGATTCCTTTTCAAAACCCAGCGCAGGCAGCTTTTCCTCCCTGAGCCTTTCTCAAGTCTCCCAGGCGCGCCCTGCGTTCAAGTTCACTGTAAAAATAGGCAACGCTGGACTGTAATTGCATGTCGACACGGAAGCCTTACATCTGCCAGCCACCCAGGGCCAGGGCCCAGGTCCTGGTTATCTTTGGGTTCCCAGGACCTGGCTTAGGCCTGGTGTAAACAACATACTCGGTACAGTCGCCAAATGAATGATGAGTAAAGTAAATCTGGCTAAAAGGCTTTTTGGTTAAGACCAGGGTTTTCAAGCCAACGCTAGAACATCAGCTTCTAGTATAATCTGCTTCTCATTCCAGGCCCACGGATCACATTGGAAAAATAGAAGCTGGATTCGGGGACGTGGGGGATGGCAGCTCCTCTTATGTCAAATTATAATAGTTCGGAAACTTGGATCCACATACAGAAAGAGGTGCATCGGAGACAGAGTAAATGAAGGTGAAATAAAAACACTTATTTTTGTTATTAATCCCTGTAAAAGGTAATTTTGTTTAAAGTAGCAATAGTAACAGTGTGCCACGTGACTGTGGCACATGGAGAGTGGAATGAATGACAGCAATGAGTCCCCTCAGTGTTTGTTTATCTGAAAGGCTCTTTGTTTCTCCCTGAAGCTGGGTTTGAGCTCCTTCACAGGACTCCCTCCCCCTGACGCTGACGGACATCAGGGCCTTCAACATCATCTAAGACCTTCTGAGTCATTTGGTCCCTGCCTCACTGGGACCCTGGGGAGGCTACTAAGAAGGTGGTAACAGCGGGAGGAAATGAAAGAGATTGGGGAGGGAGCTGGGGGAGGGATATAAACATCACCGGACACTGGGGGAGGCCCAGGGAATGGGTGGGAACCTGCAGAGGAGGCTCGGAGGCTGAGCGGCAACAGTGAGAGGGCGGTTCCTAGGGCTGGAAACATGCAAGAGAGGGGAAGAGATGGCGGGGGTTAGACGCATGATCGGTGGGAGGAAAGAGAAGGCTGAGGGGTGTAGAAGGAATCAGGAAGGAAAGGTGTGCAGCCACACACACACACACACACACACACACACACACACTCACACACTGCCGCTAAGGCAGGGAGGCTGGGCCCACCGCCCACCGCACTGCAGGCCGAGCCACCGGCCCGAATTCGGAAGCCTTACCTTGTTTTGTTTAAGGGCACCTTTCTCTTTCATGTGAGGGCAGTCCTTCCCCGTCACCACCGCTTTGATGTCTGCCACCGGCACTGCAAGTCATAAAAGAAAACGAAAGTGACGTCACCAGGTGGAAGCGGAGGTGTCCATAAAGGAGCAGGACTGAGCGTGGAGCCTGCTGGCCCCGCCGCTCCCAGAAACGACAGCCAGAGGCGAGAGCTGAAAGGAGGGAGAGAAGCCAGGCAGCGCCCCAGGACTCGGGAACTAAAATACGTCCTTACATCCGGCCAAGAAGCATCCCTGGGGAGAAAAATCTACCGGGAGAGGCAGAAGTTGGTTCATTCACTAAAACGAGTACCTGAAAAACTCCCATCACAGTCGTGGGAAAGGGGTGGGATTAGGGGGAGCAGGAGTCGTTCAGTAATAGCGGAACCAACACTGATGTCGGGAAGACTGTCCAGAAACAGCGCCAAGTGCTCCGCATAGGTCAGTATCTCTCGCTAAGGTACCTACTTCTGTTTCGTTTCTGAGTTTTGGATACCCAGGAGCAGCGCTACCACAGAGCATGTGCTTGATTCTAAGGAGTCCTGAGCACTCACTGCCCTCCCCCCTCTCTACCATCTCGTTTCCCACCACGACTCGGGGAGCCCGGCTGCATGGCCCTATTTCAAACGAAACTCCGAGAAGGGAACACTCTGCCCTGATAGGGAGATGGTCGCCGGTATTTCTCTTGCAGTTAGATGAAGAGATGTTATCTCACGCCTTACTCGGGACTTGGAAGGAGATACAAGAGCTGGAAGGGCTTGTGCACTTAAAACATTTTGTTAAAATAATCAGAGAGAGAGAGAGAAGGCAGTTGGACAGTTTGGAACCTTAAAAATAATTCAAAGTCACCCGTCTGTCCCTCTCCAATTCCTAACCTTTTGTCGCATAAGTGGCTGCAAGTCTCATTTAGGACCTGCAGAAGCTTTGAGAGCAGAATTCCTAAGTGATCAATCAGCAGTCTCCCTAGTAATCGTTCCCCTAATGATGGACACGAGGGGAAATGTCATCATTAAGTTCACACGCTTTCACTGGGGAACTGGGTTGCGGGGCTCATACTTAGAGAACTAGAAAACACGTAGACGATCAGAGCAGTACAGCAGGAAGGGCCTCGAGAGCTAACGTTCCAGGTACCCTAAAATAGCTAAGACCCGTGTGCAAATCTGTGGGCACTCCTGGGACTCTCCCGCCCTGGAGAGGAGGGGGACTGCAAGGGACTCCCCTGGGAATCTGCACCCCCCCGGGGCTGCTCCTCACCTCCCAGTCCCGATTTGACACCCCTTTGGTGGACGTTATTTGTACTCACTTATATCTGGCTTCCCTTTCTTCCCAGGCATATGGAAGACTATGCTTCCCAGCAACCCGTTGGGGCCATGTGATTAGTTCTGGCCAATGAGACGAGAGAGGAAGTGGCCAGTCTCTCTAACTGGCTGAGGCAGTGAGAGGTCCACACCCACCAGCCTCTGCCCCAGTTGCAGAAACTGAACAGGCCACGTGCTCCATTCGGATGGCCCGCGCTGGGGTGGCCAGGCAGCCCGGTCCCTGTCCCTGAGTGACTGTGTGGAGCGGTCCTTTGACAGCCCATATCAGTTATGTAACGTGAGGCGTGGGACACGATCCCTTGTTGTCCTAAGCCACTGAGATTTTGGGTTGCTTGTTCCTGCAGCAGAATGTAGCAGTTCAGCCTATGGCTTAAGCCCTCACCTTGGATCCCCTTCCAGCTCTAACTCTCTCCTTTGAATTGACATTGCCCTGCAGTCCGTTCCTGTGATTCCCGAACCTACTGTTGACTATAACCATGAACCTCAGCTCTCCTCAAATCCATTTCCATAACCAACCATCAGCCCTGTTCCCCTCAGTGGCCTGTCTGGCTGCCTAATTATGATGCTAGAAGGGGGACACTTAGGAGCTTTGGGAAGTCGCATTTACTTTTCAATGGAAAATCCACCACTGAAGTGAATCTCACATAATTAACATACCAACTCAGAAAACCTTCTCAAGCTTCAGCTGGAGTGGGAGTCACGAGTACCTCAGAAGCAGAAAGTCTTCTGTTGCATAATCTATAACGTGGTCAATGAACTATAGGGAGCATCTGTAATCTATAAATAGTAAGCTAGCCCTTGGCTTTGGGAAGCCATCAGATGAAATGGGACAAGATTAACATAAATTCTATCGTGGGAGCAGCCTTCAGAATCTCGAATGAGAAGGCTCCAGGGGAGAACAGGCACTTTTCCACCTCGTGGAAAGTACATATTTAATATTTTTACATACATTGTCCCTGTCAAGGAGACAAGCCGCCTATTACTCACAGGATTATGGCTAAAAGGAAAACACGAAATTCTAAAAATACACCATGGCTTTTAAAGGTTGTTCTTTGCATAGTTTGCCTCTCGATGCACTGGAAGATCAGGCATCAGAAGGGCCGAAATGCCGCCCTCTCTACTGCTCTGAGCAGAACCAGACTCATGTCTGTGGAATCTGCACCCTGAGGAGGCAGCAGGCGGCTCGTGATTACGTTAAAGCCAGGCAAGAGTTTCCAGCAGGTCTTTCCTGGGGAGAGCGCAGCATACAGAAGTGGGGCCCAGGGTGAGAACAGGGCGGTCACTGCTGGCTCCCTATCCCTCAACTCTAAATCCTTGGGAATGGCTTCATTTCTTTCTCTGCTTTCTTCATTTTGAGCTGGACTGAGATGATCTAATTCAACACTCCCATTGTATAGATGGGAAGACTGAGACCTAAACACAGAAAATACAGTATGCGAAGTCACATAGCCAGTGGGAACAGAGCTGGGGCTCTGTTCTCTCTTCCCCTCTATGCTCCCTTGGTAGGTCATGATTTCTCCCTGTGTTTGGAAGGTGCCGGCACACCAATCATGCCAAAAACAGCCCCAGATGTGGTTATCACTTCAGATATGTTCAGGAAACTCTGATTGCTAACACCTATAGAAGGAACTTTAATTGCGATTTAAAACAAAAATAACATTGCAAAAGTAAATACGGCCACCATGATAAAACTAATTTTAGTTTTCACCGCTGGGAGCTAAGGTGAGGCAGAAATCACCTCAGGAAGTAGCTGGTAAGCCGGGGGCACTTGCTATGTGCGCAGCTCCTGTGGCACAGTTACGGAGGAGGAGGGACGGCCGGATCCCAGCACAGTTCAGTAAAGAACTGGTCTCTAAGTTGGTGGGAAGGGCTGTGCCTTTGGCAGCCCAGAGCCTGGGTTTGAAATCCAGACCCACCTACCCACTACACCACTCTGGGCTTACGTTCTGGGAGCCTAAGCTTCCTCGGCTGCAATGTGGAATTACAACATCTCTCTCAGACGGTTGCTCCCAGGACTGACTCCTGAGGTGGGAGCCAAGATCACAGCTGGCTTTTACTCTAGGCAGCAGAGCAGAGGGCAAAGGCTGGGCCACGCAGCTGGATGGCTGTATTCAGATCTTTGTCTACCATTTACTAGCATGTGACTTTGAAAAGTCACTTACTTTCTCTATGCTTTATCTGTAAAACAAGGGCAGTGATATCTACCTCTTCAGGTTGTCAAGAGGATAATTTATGTACAGTTCTCAGCACAGTGCCTGGCATACAGTAAGCACTCAATAAATGTTATACGAAATTGTTCCCATTGTCAGTCACCAAAGTTAGTTCTCTCCGTAGACCGGGGACCTGAATTATTCAGCATGCATCAGTGACCCAAATGGCCCACTTTGCTTTGCTGTCCCAGCTGCTCCTCTCATCTTCCGTAATGGGCTTAATCGCCTGTGTGTGGGGAGCTTTCTCCCCAGCCCCTCTGATGTGGGAGTGAAGAGCACTGGCCTAGATTCTCTCAAAGGGAGGCACTGAGGGGCCAGGGACTGAACAGCAAGAGAGTCTAGTGTTCAGTGGGGGTGATGGGAGCCTGGCAACCTGGCGGGCGGGATGCGGGGCTAGGCCATGGAAGGAGACACGGATTTTTTAATGGCCCTTTGTCCTGTCAAACAAAACGAACGCGAGAGGGCGATTCCCCAGACCCTCAGGGATGAAGACAGCTAAGGAGGTCTCGCCATCCTCACGCACATTCGTGGGAAGACGATTCCACTGCACCGATTCCCCGGCACCTCAACGCTCAGCGCTGATGAACCTGGGGGGCGGAAGGCAATGCCCCCTGGTCCCCGGCGCGAGCAGTGGCACCTGACAGTGATCAGGGCAGGACTTGTCCCTCGGGTGGCATGAAGGTTCTGACTTTTAGGGGCTATTTTGGTCTAGGCGGAAACATGTAATTAAAATCACGAGCAAACCAGGTAGCAGGCCCGAGGCAGCAAACTTAGTTTCCGAGGCGGGGCCCTCTCCAGCTCGGGCACACGGCAGCTTCATTTGACACCATTACACAAATACGCCCCCTCCCTGGGTGCACACAGATGTAATATCACCCCCCACACACCCTTGCACAGCATGGGCTCCTGGTTTAGATGGCAGTGGGTAAATTGTTACCAAGCGGCTCTTTCAAACTCTGACTGACTGGATTTAAAGGCAGCAGAGAAAAGTGGTGGACGGGAATTGTGGAACCGCTGGCGGAGGAGACGGATGCAGCTCCTTCCAGAATCAGCATCACTCGGTGGCCACCAGCAAAGCCTTTAGGAGATCTGCAGCTCTGGGGCGCTCTGCCACCACCGTGGCCAGCCCATCTGCCCAGGTGATGCTGCTGGTCTGAGGCCCACCCTCTGAGAACCACGGTCTAGCTTGTCCATGGTGGGACAGAGAATGTTTCCTGAGACCTGAAGGGAGGGTCCTCATTAAGGACAGAGGCCTGGATGCCCATGTAGACACTGCCCCGGACTCCATAGTGAAAGGCTGCAATTGTCTTCTCTTCCCATGAACTGTGCCAGCAATAGCACTGGGAGGCTGGAAGGAGGCTGATTTCTGAGCTAAATGACACTACAAAGGCCTCGCGGCCCCATTTTTAAGCTGGAGGAAGAGAGCATGTTCCGGGGCTGAAAAGCGAGAGCGTCTAGCGTTCAGTGGGAGTGACGGGAGCCTGTCAACCTGGTGGGAGGGATGTGGGGCCAGGGGCTGTCTGCCTGATATGTCAGCAGAGTCTGGACATGTCAGGAATTTTCCACTGCTGGTCTATTTTTGCCTTTGACGGCCACGAGCTTCGAGGGAGGAAGGCCGGATTTGACTTTCGTGGGCCCTGGGGTGACTAGAAGTGAGGCGCTGGGACTTGGGGGTGAGCACTCAACCTGGGTCACACGTGTAGGACTCACTGCAGGGTCAATGTGAATGTGAAAGGCTGTGAAATGAGTCTTTATTTCTCTCACTTTTCATTTCTCTTCCTGGGATATCTTCTGGGGCTACGTTCATTTCATCTCATTTCTCTTCCTAACTAATTCATCGGCCTTGGATAGTTTAACGTTGCTATAATACTTGGTTTAATGTGTATACTAACACTGTCTCAAAAACCTGGAACCTGGTTAAAATAATCTAGCATAGTATTGGTTCTTCAAAATATATATATTAAAACAGACATCGGTCAGAAATAGCAAATAAATATAAATACTATGCATTTCAGGGACTATTTAGAAAACAACCAAATGTAGTTCATCATAAATGTCCTAATGGCCTGCGTTACATCTTTGAAGCAGTCAGCACATTTGGGTCTACCCTTAGCTCTGTGTTATAATTACGGGGTACACTGAACTATAATAAATATATGGGGGGGATCAAGCACACGATTCCTGTGAAGCTGTTTCAGGTCATCTGAAAAGGACAATGGACAGAATCAGGTTTATGCTGTTTTTGTTCCGCGAAACAGCACCTGGATAAGTAACGGGAAAGTGGGCGTTTGAGCCCCAGGTTTAACCTTTCAAAAGGACGTGGTCATTCCTTTCCCACCCTTCCCTGCTCAGGCCCCACCCCAAATCCATGAAGGTCTGGTGCTTCATAAGAACGCCCAGGCCCGGACTTCTGACAAGACGAGACACATTGGATGGGTTTACGTAGGTGGATAATTTGCTGTGTGATATTTAGCGACCAGGGCGCAAACAAGCAGCCCCAACCCAGGCCTCCCACACAGAAGGGCCACTTACGTTTGTCCTGCAAGGAATCGTGGGGCACCTCTCCCTGAGGACTCTCTTCCAAGTCTCCATAGTGCAGGACCTTGTGGTTTGGTGAGAGCCGGCAATACCAAAACTTGTCTGAAGAGGAAAACACAAACGCACAAGGCAAGTGTGGTCAGAACAGGGTAGTCCACAGACTGAAAAGAGTCTGAACTCTGATGGAAAATTATGAGAGGAAAGAAAAAGTTATTTGATGGCTTGGAAAACATCTGGAACTGCTAAATTTTCAAAATATGACATATATATAACGTCATTTTTCTGGGAGAGCATTTCAAAGGGAGAAAATAAAGTTACTCCCTCAATAACTCACAGCCATCACAGTTGGCAAATGTGCCATTACCCGTCTCCCAGGAGGAGAGCACGCCGGGAGTCTGACCCGTAACCCGCAACAGGAACTGTGGTTCCACGGGAGCAGCCCGCGCTCTTGCTGAGTTATCCAGGTGCTCCTGGGTCCTGGCGCGACAGGCGCCGAGGTTCCTTCTCCCTGGAAGGACCTCGCGCCTCGTCTAAGTGGCCTGTGGCAACCCAAGGCCAGCTGGACAGAGCTGCTACGAAGCTCTCCTTCCTCGGCCACCTCGGAGGCGATGCTTGGCTAGCGAGCCTGAAAGAGGGCAGGCCCGGGGGCCGGGGGGCGGCCCTGCCGGATGCCCTGCTCTCGTTGAGTAAGGCTCGGCCTCCCCTTCCAGGAATTCCTCACTTCTCGGGCTGCTGTGAGCCACAGGGTTAGAGTTTACTTCTAGTGGGAACCCGAAGTCCAAGGGTCAGTGTGGCGCAAGGAAGACCAGTCGCCCTCAATATAGGTGGGAAGCTCTAAGAAAATTAAGTGGTAGGAACAGATCCAGCTTGGAGTGAAGTACACAACTTATCCTCATTTGTAAGACTTCAAAAATATGCGCTGTGTACTTTCAAGGCAAGTTTATCCAAAGAATATCTGCAAAGTGGGTACAATGCACACAGCACTCTCCTGGGTGGGGCAGGGCGTCATCAGGGCGAAAGCCAGACACAAAGCCACGGAGCGCGAGGGGCTCCCTCAGCTCGAAGGCCACCAGGGGCCACCAGGCGAGAGAGGGTGGGGGCCTTGTTCCCCAGGTCTAAGAAGAAGGGCCGGGACTCAGCAGCGCTGCCTGCAGTCAGGGTAGGGAAGGTCCCTGGTGCGACATATGCTTATATTCAGAACAGTGGCTACTGATCAGGTTCCAGGAAGCAAAACCACCGTCTTCCTCGCAAAGCTGCCGCTGATGTTTGTTTAAAGGAAATGCAAAAGGCTACCCAGGGCTTCGCCACCTCTTGATCTCTGCCCAGCCCTTCACTTGCCCGATGTCAGTTCCTCTTTCTCTGTCTACCACTAAAATGCTGGAGGGCAGAACGCCCTGTGTCGCTCCTCCCCACCAAACAGGACGTCTGGGGTGGATGACAGCAATTGGAAGGGGACGGAAGAGGCTGGGGGAGGTTGCTTTGACCCAGTGCCAAGTGCTGATACTCGGCCAGCATCGTCCACCCGATGCGCTGGCGCCCTGGCCTCTGGGGAGGATCAGCAGCAGCGGCACTGGGTTAGGTCTGTCCTGGGGGTAGAGCTGTTCCAAAGAAAAGCAGAGCCTCAGGCTCCGGCCAGCACAGCGCCCACTGTGGGTGAGACCGGTTCGGTGTTAGCCACCAGCAGTGGCTTGATCTGCAGTTTCTTTTATGGTAAGAAAAATGCGTGTTTTCTTTTCGAAACGCAGCACGATTGTTGCTAGTTCCTCAATCCCTCTGGGCAATGAATGAGTGGGTCGTGTCACCAAAAGCAATTAGCAAGAAGCAGTGAGAACATTATCAGAGACTGTTCGCTAGCATTTAAAGAGAACACGGGGCCTAATATAGAGGTCTTCCAGGCAGTTGGGGAGGCAGTACATTAACAGCCCCCTCTTCATTCCCCAAACTCAAAAACTGAAAATATGGAGTCAATTTTGCGCATTTCTCTCTCCTTCCCTCTCCCCCCT